AACATATTTCCCATACTTATTTCCGAATCGAATTTTCTCTCTTTTTTTTCTAAAAAAAAAAAAATATATATTTTTTTTTTTTTTTTCATAACTCACTACTTTGGGATTTTAGATCCGTATCAAGTTATTTATTTGTTGTCTTTTTCCATATGAAAAATAATTTTCATCCAGTATTTTTTTTTTTTTTTTTTTTTTTTTTTTTCCCCTTCAATTTCACCCTCAAAAAAAATGCATGGAGTAAACTTCTTACATAAGAATGGAGGTCGCAGCTTGGGGGACCCCAAACAGAAGGGTGTAACTAGCAGAGAACCTGGCTTCCCGGTCCAGCAGGGGCGGGGGGCCTGGTGGGAGAAGCCTGGCTTAGATGGGCTCAGACCACTCACCATGAGCTCTATGGAGCCATCGCTCAGGCTGCTGCCCCCCTGGGAGCGGTCGGTCAGCACTGTCAGCTGCATGTTCCCATCCTGGGGGCAAGGGATGAGAGTGAGGAAGGACACTGCCAGCCAGGCCGGGCCGCAGGCAGGCAGCACAGGGCATGGTGGGCACGGCCAACGACGCTGGGAGATGCTAAGAATGAGGGGTGACACCACTGTGTAGAAGAGGGTCTGGAAAAGGTGGGGAGCAGGAAAGGGGAGGGGGTACCGTAATGTAAATGCGGGTGTTGACTGGATAGTAGTTTCCTGCCACTGGCTCCGTCTGGTTCAGCTCCCAGGTGGGACGATAATCCCGCCTGAGGGGGTAGGGGGAGGGAGAGGGTTTGGTCGGTCAGACCTGGGTTCTGGCTCCCCTTCCCCAACTCCCTTTCCCAGGCTCACCCACTCCTCACTCCCCCTTCATACTCTCCCACCCACACTCATAGGATCGGCAGATGCCCCGATCACCCACAGGCCCCAACACACCACAGTCCTCCTGGGTGCCCCCATCACCCCACCTCCTCTCCAGGATCTCCCGGCCATTGCTGTCGGTGAAGAAGAGTCCCTTTGTCTCCAGCGCAGTGTCAAAACGACTGATGACTTCCTTCCCCCAGTCATCACTAGACCCAATGGAATAGGAAAACTGTGAGCCAGGCCTACCATCACTCTGCCCTGGCCCCTACCCCAGAAGCCCAGTCTGTGCCACTCACCCCACGGGTATTGGTCCCACCGTCCACTCCAGCTCCAGGTGCCGCTGTCCCGGGTACAGGCGCACCACCTGGGAACACCAGGCTGAGAAGTTCTGGTGCACCTCCTGCACCAAGGCCGTCTGCAGGCACATTGGGCAAGTGTGAGCTTGCACCTGAGCGGAGGTGGGCCCTACAAATACCCACCCCTGCCGTGAACCTCACAAAGGCCTACACCAGGGTCAGCCCCACTAAGAGCATGAGAACACAACCTACCTGCCTCATCTGCCTAGGAGTGAGGCCCATACTTCCCGCCACAGTCAATGCCACATAATTCTCGCTTGCTACCCCATCCTCCTCCTTAGAACAGGATTCTAGCTGGGCATGTGGCTACCTACAATAAAGACTGTATGGCCCAGCCTTCCCTGAGGCTATCAGTAGCTGTGGTCTGCCCAATGCAGTGATTAAAGTGGTGTGAACAACATTTCTTGCCCCTCCCACTAGCTCAAATGCAAATGTAATGGCTGGAGCTTGAACAGCCATCTTGGGTTATGAGGTAGAAGCTGAATGCTGAGGAAGGCAGAGCAATGAAATAGGAGGGGCCTGGAGGACTGTGGAACCACCCCACCCACCCTGGATGGTCCAGCCAGACTTTTTGTTCCATGGAAAGAACCTGCCTTGTTTTAGGCAGTTAATTTGGGTAATTCTGTTACAGCAGTAAAACTATATCCTAACCGGGTATGCAGACCTTCCCGTCAAAGGTGAGTCTTACCATTACCTGCCCCATTCCCATCCTAACAGGAAGTGTTCACAAGAAGCCCCTGTTCCCGACCAGATGCATGCTCAGCTACCCA